ATAAATATACACAACATTTCAGAATAAATAATGAACAATTAACATTGAAAATATTGATTTATTCAATATTTTATTCAACATAAAATCAATAAAACATATATTTTGATAATACACAAATGAAATAATAAAGAAATATACAATACTCAAGAATTAATAAAAAAGAAATAAAAAGAATGAATAAATGAATATAAAAATGATAAATAATAGAAGAAAGAAATAGAAAAACAACGAAAAACAAATAATATAAAAAGAATAAAAATATATAAAAGAATAAAAATAAAGTAGAAGAAGAATATAAAAATAATAAATCACAAAGAGATGATAAAAGAAGAAAAGAAGAAAATGGTGTATTTTTAATTTAAAAATTAGAAATATTCAATAAAAAGTGTCTAATTTAATGATGTAAAATGATTAACAATATTTTATTGATGAAAAATATTTTACTCTTTTTTATGTTTATTGTTCATATGTATAACTTCATCATGATGTTTATTATATAATCAATCATATGTGTTATGTTATTATAATATATAATAAGTGATAAAATATAAATGAAAATGATATGAATATATAACATAGATAGAATATAAAACAAAAGAATAATAAAAATAAATGATAAATAAAAGGAGAAATGATAATCAATGATATAATAATAAAATCAAAGTATAAAAGATAAAATTAATATTAATATAAATCAAAAGAGAATAAATGATAATAATATAAAAATGATAATAATATAAAAATGATAAAGATGAATAAACAAATAATAAAATATATCTAAATATAAAAGAATAACAAGAAGAAAATCTAAATAATATAAACATAAAAACATAAAATAAGAATAATATAATAATATATAGATAATAAGAAGAATACAATGATATAAATAATATAAACAGAGAAATAAATATATAAAAATAAATATATAAAAATAAGATACATAAATAACATAATAACAAAAAAATAAAAATAAATATGAATAATCAAATCATCTATTTCATTAATATTTCATACAGAATACAAATGATTATAAAATATAAACATAAATATTTACATATTCTGTATTTCTCATTCATTTTTATTTGCTAGGAGTAAAATATAATAAATGGAATGTTCTATTGATGCAAATTTTTTTGCATCTTTTTTCTTTTTTGTAAATTATTTAATATTCATTTTTATCAATCCACAAAACAATGAAATTTCTACTTGAATATTCACCACATTATTGTTCTTTTATTCAATTTATTTGTCTTCTAAATCTCAAAAATGAAGTAGAACGATATTTTGTGTTTTTATATAAATTCATTAAATACGACTGTTATTTGACTAATTATACTTTTAGTATTATTTGAGTCTTTCCATTCATTTTCTTATCTCTTGGTTATTTTTCTTATTTCTCATATCATTTGTTAAGTGTGATTAAAATGTCGTTAAGTAATTATTACTGTTCATTATGTAATGTTTATTTGGTATTGTATTTTTAGAGAATTAATATAAATGTTATTTAAATGAAAAGAAAGAATAATGTTATAAATAACAAAAGAACACGTGGAAATGATAAAGCAATGAGTAAATGAGTAGTAGAAAGAATGAAAGATTGGCACAAACAATGAACCACGTAAACATGATAGAAATGGAGAGAATGATATATAAAGGAAGTCTGAAGTAAAGAAGTCATTAAATGAGTAAATACACAGGATTAGGTATTGGAATAGATTTAGGTACAACATATTCATGTGTTGGTATTTGGCAAAATGATCGAGTAGAAATTATAGCAAATGACCAAGGAAATAGAACGACACCATCATATGTTGCATTTACTGATACAGAAAGACTTATTGGGGATGCAGCAAAGAATCAAATTGGAATGAATGTTAAAAATACGGTATTTGATGCAAAACGAATGATAGGAAGAAGATTTAGCGATCCAACTATTCAAAATGATATGAAACATTGGTCATTTGAAGTAGTTGATGATGGACATGATAAACCACTAATTGAAGTAGAATATAAAGGAGAAGTTAAAAGATTTACACCAGAAGAAATTTCATCAATGGTATTAAGTAAAATGAAAGAAACGGCAGAAACATTTGTGGAAAAGAAATAAAGAATGCAGTTATTACATGTCCAGCATATTTCAATGATTCTCAAAGACAAGCTACTAAAGATGCAGGAACAATTGCAGGAATGAATGTGATGAGAATTATTAATGAACCTACGGCAGCAGCTATTGCATATGGACTTGATAAAAAAAGTTCAGGAGAGAAGAAAGTATTGATATTTGATCTTGGAGGAGGAACATTTGATGTATCAGTTCTTGCAATTGAAGAAGGAGTGTTTGAAGTTAAAGCAACTAATGGAGATACACATCTTGGAGGAGAAGATTTTGATAATCGACTTGTTAAATATTTTATTGGTGAAATTGAAAGAAAATATAAGAAAGATATTAGTGGGAATGCACGAGCTGTTAGAAGATTAAGAACGGCATGTGAAAGAGCAAAAAGAACATTATCAAGTGCAAGTGTTGCTAATATTGAAGTTGATCAATTATATGAAGGAATTGATTTTTATACATCTATTACACGAGCTAGATTTGAAGAAATCAACATTGATTTATTTAAATCAACTATTGGACCAGTTTCAAGAGTATTAGAAGATGCTAAAATAGATAAAAGTAGTATTGATGAAGTAGTATTGATAGGAGGAAGTACAAGAATTCCAAAAGTCGTTGAGATATTAAAAGAATTTTTCAATGGGAAAGAACCAAATAAAAGTATTAATCCAGATGAAGCAGTT